CAATAATATAGTCAATCTGATTTCTATATATTCCATCTAGTGATATCCAATTATACAGGCATCATTTTGTTTGAAGACAGTACAGTGGTACCTCTACTTACGAACTTAATCTGTTCCGTGACTCTGATCGCAAGTCGAGTTGGTCGCAAGTCGAAGTAAATTTTCCCATAAGGTCCAATGTAATTACTGTTAATCCATTCCGGCGTCCGTGGACCACGCGTCAGGGGCAGAAAAACGGCCACTGACCACACGGCAGGGCGGAAAAATGGCCGTGGACCATGTGTCAGGGGCAGGTAAATGGCCGTGGACCATGTGGAACGGGCGGAAAAATGGCCGTGGACCATGTGTCAGGGGCAGGTAAATGGCCGTGGACCATGTGGAACGGGCGGAAAAATGGCCGTGGACCATGTGTCAGGGGCAGGTAAATGGCCGTGGACCATGTGGAACGGGCGGAAAAATGGCCGTGGACCATGTGTCAGGGGCAGGTAAATGGCCGTGGACCATGTGGAACGGGCGGAAAAATGGCCGTGGACCACGTGGAACGGGCAGAAAAATGGCCACGGACCACGTGGAACGGGCAGAAAAATGGCCACGGACCACGTGGAATGGGCGTAGAAATGGCCGCGGACCACGTGGGATGGGCGGAAAATAGCCACGGACCACGTGGCACGGGCGGAAAAATGGCCGCGGACAACGTGGTACGGGCGGAAAAATGGCCGCAGACCACGTGGAATGGGCGGGAAAATGGCCGCGGACCACGTGGAACGGGTGGAAAATGGCCGCGGATCCGGTTCGTAAGTCGAGGCGAGTTCGTAAGTAGAGGTAAATTTTTGGGGCCGGTGCTGATCGTATCTCGAAAAATTCGTAAGTAGGGGCGTTCGTAAGTAGAGGTACCACTGTATTAGTTATGAAGAAATTATTGGAGTAGCAGAAATCTGTAAGTTGGTCTCCTGCTTCATTTCAGTTTCCTAAGCCATTCAATCCACCTACATTTCCCTCTTTAATGTTTCGAACTTTGGCATTCTAGTCTCCAATCACAAGCAGCACATCTTGCTTGATCTTCTGTCGATTTCAAATTGATCATAAAACTTGTAAACCTCATCTTCTTCTGCATTAGTTGTTGAAGCATAAACTTGAATGATTGTCATATTAAAGGGTTGTCTACAAAGTCTAATCAATATTATTTGGTCATTGAGTTCATTGTAGCCAAGTACTATTCTTGCTATACTCTTCCTTACTATAACAGCAATGCTGCTGCTCCTTTGTTTTTCATGTGAACAGTGTGATCTGAAAGTGTCCAGTTCCGGTCCATCTCAATTCATTGATGCCTAAGATGTCAATTTGTAGTTGCTTCAGTCATCTTTTACTATGCTGAGCTCTCCTGTGTTCATGCTTCTTATATTCCATGTTCCTACAAGTAGTCCTTATTTAACATCCACTCGTTCAGTGACCATTCAAAATTACTTACATCTGGTCCTTGTAGTTGCAGCTGTTGCAGCATCCCCATGGTCATGTGATCCCTACTCGGGCATTTGGAAACCAGCTTGTAATTATGATGTTGCAAGATCCCACGGTCACGTGATTGCCATTTGTGACCTTCATTGTCGGCTTTTGACAAATGGTGTTGGAATGGGGAAGCCAGCAAGAAGTTGCAAATGGTGATCACATGACTGTGGGACTCTGCGCATGCAGGATTCACCTCACAACAGCAACTGGGAC